AAAGCAGAGACGACATCAGAGTCCATATTAAAGGATAATTACAACTAAACAACAGGAGACTGTTCCCATGAAGAATCCTGGGGGATTATCACTGCTTATTGCTCCTTTACATTGTAGAGCTTTAATGCTTGTGTGTGTGTGTGTGTGTGTGTGTGTGGTGTGTGTCCATTCGCCCCCCCCCCTCCACCTGGCCTTAAATGTCCTCTTCCTACTCACCTCACCACAGAGTGATGAGAATCTCTCCATGCTTCATGCTATAAAAAGTTATCTTTATTCCCCTTTGCTACTTTGTTTTCCCTAAATAGAAAATAAGTAACTTCTATCTGCATATTAGGTTTTCCTACTTCTAGCCAGAACAAAAGTAAAATAAAAACTGTAATTTGAGTCCCAGCTTTGACACCAGAGACCAGGTTTTGCATCCCTTTTTAACAAATCCATCCATTTGAATCCACTTTATTATAGAATGATTTGTTTTTCTAAAGTCACCTGTTTCCCCTTTACATGACATCAATTTGTCATATCTGTTTTTCCCTTCCGTATTTGTCCTGGCTTAGAGGCACTATGCCATGGGGACTCCAACAGCAAATGTCAGGGAACACATCAGAAAGAGTGACGAGAAACTGAAGGAAACATTAACATTCCCCAACAACAAAACATTTTGTAATGTATCAAAGAAGACTTTTTATTTACCCAACATTTACCTGTGATGCATTTATCATTATATGTTCACATTAATATTTGTCGTATGTCAAAGATTGAAAAATGTAGCTTACTGCTGCTGCACTGCAGGTTGTGTACCTCCGTCTTTTGATATATGTTTGTGCATACACTTGTACACCACTATAATTTAGTGGTTTGTTGCTGGTCTGACCCCCTGCTGTGCTTGGTGACCATTTGTTGACATGAAATGATACTTCACTTCAAGGTCAGTAAATGTTCTCTGGGAGGTGTCAGTAAACAAAATAACAAAGTGATTTACATAGTTTTTTCGTGCAGCTTATACTTAAGAAAAAAATGTTTTCTTACTTTTATTTTTAGGTAGTTAAGTTCTAGTACATCTGAAAAAAAGAATCCATTAATATTGCATCCAGTATTGATTTCTATACAAACTGAAAACTTCATTGAAAGCCACGTCATAAATGTTCACGTTCTAAGGGTATAATTTAGGGAAGGGAAGCAAAGTCATTTAAAATTACATTTCCCAATATTAACCAAATCCTGTGTCACTCTTCAAGATCATTACACTTATTCTCTAAACAGAGTTTGTGTGTGAGTGAGAAAAAATCCCCAAACTAGGACCAAACAATTTAAAACATGGTAACATTTGACTCTAAAAGCACTGTTTAACTTTGTTCATACAATACAATACAGAATGATCCCATCTTGCTCTACTATCAACTAACAGGTCTTGTCTTACGATGCTTTGCTGAGATTTTTGTTTCACATCACTCCAAACAGTTTTTTAAACCTCATAGGAAGTTCATATCTTACATTTATACATTTCAATACAGCATTTTCGGAATATTTAATGAACTGATGAACATATCAGTGCCTGCATATGATTTGTCAATCTTGCTCGTGGCTTCAAATCTAAACAGCATTTGTCAAACATTGTGTACTAGAATTTAGTCACAAAACTTGCAACTGGATCAGTGAGATCTTAAAAAAGTTCATCTGTCCCTCGATGTCACAGCTCCGTTGCTGAGCTCTCCCTGTGAGACAAAGCCCGAGCCCCAGTAGAAAATTAGCGCATTTAGCTGTCATCGCTCAGCTCGCTTTACAATCCCAACCAGCATTCACACAGAGGGCCTTGGCCTCTTTTCTCTCCCTCCATCCATCCACCCCTCCACCTCCCACCCCCTACCCTCGCTTGCTTGCTTTCTTTCTTTGAGTAGGAAAGGCGATCCCCTGTATAGCGCAGAGATCAAGACAGGAAGGTGTAAACTGCAGATAAATGTGATCAAGTGTCTCCGCTATCACAAGCCCTCACATCGGAGTGGCTGGCTGGCTGGCTGGCTGGGTTTACCTCCCCCCCTCCTCCCTCCACACCAACATGGATTAGCTGCCCCCTCTTTGTGCCTCTCGGTGGAAGCAGACAGGTAGGAGATGAGGAGATGTTCAGTCATTTTGGACTTGCAGACCTTTCAGACCTGCTCTCACAAGTAAAACGACACTGAGCGGCTATAATTAACCTCGTATAAACCTCTCAGTGACTCAGGTCATTTTATGGCCTGCTGAACAATTTAGACAAACCAGAAACAACTTAGGAGAATAATACAGAGAGATAACATTATATTACATTTAATGCAGAAATATTATGGTTAAAGTACTAGTACTAGTAGCAGCGAACTAAAGATTATCCTAGTCGACTAGTAGTTAATAGTTCAAGCCATGGGTCATCAAACTTATGATATTAATTTAAATACATAAATATTTTAACAGTCGCATGTTACATGAAAAAGCAAAAGTGGTATTGATTCTGAACGTTTCAAAACAACCAGGAAAGAGACTGAACATTTAGTTAATTTATGTCTCATTGTTCAAAACACAGAATAAATAACTTCCAACTTTACAAAAACTAATACTTACTATGGAATCATCGATATGATGTATGATGTCTAACAGTATTTACAAATCATCTCTCTTTCCCACTTCATGCCTCTCCTATCCCTGCCTGAACACGCCGTGTCTTTGTCTTTGTAAATCACCTGGCTGTGTTCTGTCCCAGTTGCAGTCACTGGGAGGCTGCTGAGCTGGGCTCCATTGCTTGCTCATCCCACTCTGGCTATGGTGCTCATTCCGGCCCAGTTCCCGGCAGCTGGGTCCCCCATCCCGGGCCTGAAAACCTCCTCCGGGCATTCCAAAGCTCCTATGCTAGAGGGTCAATCAAACCTTTCCCAGTACTTCGAGCTCACGGTCCAGGTAATAGTCAGCTAATAGGACAGGACAGTTAGCACATGCACCAGTAAGAGACTTCCTGTTTTCCAAGAGAAAATATCTGTGTTGCAACAATCCCCTGATACTTTTGTCCCTTTGACTAGGCGCAGCCACTGAACAAAGTTGTTGTTTTTCTTTTTTTGCAACTCTTCGACTATTGAAAAGTGGGTTGACTAAGACTAACAGTTCAGTAGATGGGACAGCCCTAAAAAATAGTGAACCTCTGTCACCATATACTATTGTGAGATATGTTGATACTGTTCCTGTGCAATAGTTAAAAATGCATTCATTGATTTCTTTTTTTGGCAACTTGCGGGTAGCGCAACAAGCTGCAAACTCAACACTGACATATTAACATCTTATTGAGTGGACCTGCTTAACACGTTAGCGAACAGTGGCTCATTTGCCCATCCAGCGCAAAATGAGCATTAACTTGGAGTTGTGTTTATGTACACATTACAAAAGTAACAAATCAGTCCCTCTAGGGTTTTGCAGGCTTTTTGGGGGATTGTTGCAGCCTAAAATGCCTGATTTCATGTCAACTTTTCTAAAAGATTGCTTGTTTAAAATCCTACTTGAGCGAAAGTTGAAAGTAGCTCATTAAAACAAAACAAAAAACATTAAATCTGATTGGGGGGGGTTAACTGTCTATTGTGATTCCGACAATGATTGGTGGAGTACTCTGTTAAAAATTTAAGAGGACCAACTTCAAACTAAATACTTTAAAGTATAAAATCAAACAGAAGAAGTGACACAATTTTACTTCTCTCTCTGTCCGTTCACAGTCAATGTAAACCTCACCATTCAGTTGTCTAATTTCTGCCATTTATACCTATTATAAACTCTGCAATACTTTTTATCTACAATTAAACTAAAAACTCTTTGTGAAGTGATAATGAAGTGACGAGCTTTATACATTTTCATGTAGTTCAGTGTAATCTAAGTGCAGGTCAGCAGGGTCGGGAACATTTCAAGGGTTGAGTCCTTGATCCTTTATTTAAAGGCTGCAAGAGATCTCTGTATCATATCTGCAGCTTTGCACATTGGAGCTCATTTAGAAAGAAGCTAATAGAAATACTGAAGCTTAGACAACACTACAAAGTAAAAGAAAAGAATATTATTTCTCATTCTCTGAGAGGTAAAAATCACTGGTTGAAAACAAGTGTGGGTCTTATAATTTTTAGATATTATTTGCATGATAATGGATGCTAATTACATGAATCTAAGCACAGGGTGTAAAGTGCAGTTAAGATACCAGTGAACACTGCCAATTGTGTGCCAATGAGGACAATTAGCAAAGTTTGAGGGATGGAAGGGTTCATGTCCTTGTCTTTGCACTAATGACCCGTACTGGTTGACGGGTAGCAGATGGATGAGATAAGTTTTAACACTGGAAATGCTGTGCACCACAGGACTGGCTGCAGGTTCCCCTTCTAGTCATCAAAAAGCAAACCAGTAGGCAAGAAAATGCTACTTTACAGGCACTGGTCTGCTAAAATACCCCTTTGTTTCAATGTGCCTGCATGATTACAGAGTCCCTTTAAAAACAGAATTAAATGTATTAGAAACTGTGATTTTTACTTGGTTTGTGTTGCACCTTGGTTTAATTAATTAGTCTCAATCAAAATATGATTCTCTGACAATGTTTTTGACTACTCATGCTGCAAGCTATGGCACTATTACTGCAGGCGCTACCTCTCTTAACGCGCATGTTTTCATACACACATGCACTTTGACATTATCACATATAAAGTGCCACTGACAAATTACTCAAGAAAAGGAGAAAACAGGTAAGGAAATTTCATCACATGCTTGTGTTAACATTTTCACATGCCTTTCTATTAGCATCTGCATCGTGCCGCCATTAACTAGGTGTCAAGGGTCATCTTTGTGGTCACATAAACCGAATGAAAGGCCACTAGCTTGCAAAACATATGGACTCTGTTTTCCACCAATTTAGCTCTTTCAGAGGTATGAATATACGTCTAAGTATAAACTGCTATTGACACTTCTTTTCTTCCACTTTCCTTTTTTTGCTCCATCTCTCGCTCGCTCGCCTTCGCGACACTTCACGTGTCTGATAAACCATTTATCCCTCCAAGGACGTTTTTCCCATCCGAGCGTCCATCCAGTGAAATTACACACTCAACACATAATGGATTCTGTTCCTATCGTCTCAGTACAGAGAGACCCAGAACCCACATCTGCTCCCGAATACCCCAGACAATAAACAATTCACTGCTCATGCTCAAATCTCATTTTTCGGACAAAGTCTTGACAATAAGAAAGAAATAAATTACGCTGCCGCTGAAGGGGCCGCCTTAGCCATCCTGGAGACGAAGGGAAAAGTTTTTCTCAGAGTTTTTTCGTGGCGAGTAGATTCCTCTGAGCTAGCCATTATCTCAGGGAGGAAGTTAATTAAAGTGGCCCAGTCTGAATCAATAGGGGAATTTGCTGCCGCGCGACGGACAGACCAACGGACTGACGGGAAGAGTGGAGTGACGGCCATGACACCACTTCAGAAGAGAAGATTAGCCCAGAGACAAAACTCTCGGCTCTGATCAGCCCTACAGTGCGGCTCTCCTCCTGGATTACTCCTCTCCCACCCCTCCCTCTCCTCTTTTCTTTTTCTATCTCTCCCTTTCTATCCATCCATCCACGCCTCCCCCATCCTCCATCCCCAAAAGAACTTGAGGAGGCTTGTCTTCAAAGCTCGTCCCCTCCTTCCATCCCTGTAATTCCTCACATCATTACCAAGTTTCCAAAACTTAATTTTAGCAATTACACATGCAATTAATTAATAAATGTGCTGTCATTACAGCCCCTTGTGTGATCTGAGCCCCATGAATGGGAGGTTGAAATAAAGTGGTCAAATGAACTGGGAGGGCTTCAGAGAGAGACAGAGGGAGGGAGGGATAGAGGGAATGAGATTGTTATTAAGGGATTGCAGAGTTAATCGGTTGAGGGGCTGCTGCTCTATCAGAGGCAGAAGTCTGCAGGGAGAGTGAACGAGAGACAGACAGAGAAAGAGATAGGGGACAGACTGAGAGTGAGAGTGAGACAGAGAAGCGTACAGAGAAAAAGAGGAGCAGAGGCAGCGACAGAAGAAAGGCAGGATGGTGAGGGCGGAAAGGCAAGAATTAGACCAGAAGAAACAGGAACAAAAGAAAAACAGAAGAGGAGAAGACAGGAACAAAAGACAATAAGGGGAAAGGGAAGAGAAAGGGGAGTGGAAGCTCTATGGAGCACGCTTAGTTCAGGCAGCCGGATTATTAATGAGATCAGCGAGTTCTCAGGTCACTACAGCAGCATGAGCAGCTACGCACAGGCAACACACACACACACACGACACACTTGAAAAAAGCAGTCTCGATAGTCTTCGAGATATAAGTTTGACCATATTTTGAGACAAAATGAATAATGAGAAACATAAAGTAACATAATATTCATCAACACTGGGCAAGGCTATACTAAACGTTCCAATTCCTTTTTTTTCTTTAGAATCAAAACTTTATGAGCAAGTACACCAAAAAGTGATTTTTTTTGGAATAAAAAAAAATTCTGATTTCTAAGTTGACGAATAAAACGTGACCAAATGTTCCTTTTCAAAAATAAGTTTCGTTACACACATAACACACATCTGTAGTTTGATTTCTTCATGTATTGCTGTGACAGAGCAGTTTCCTGTGTTGCTGCAGGATCTGATCTGAATGTTCAGCATGGAAACACAGGCAGACAAACAGGGTGCTGACTCATTTATCACTTCAGTGTGTTGACGGGAATCACACCTGATATGAGGAACAGGATCGAATTACAGACGTGTGTGTGTGTGTGTGTGTTTGTTTTAGTTGGATATCAGATGTACAGAATGAGAGCAAAGTCCATTAGCCAATATTCCTGCTTCATCAAACTTCACGGAGCAGAAGCGTCGATGTAGGATGTATAATCACATGACATATCTCATGGAAACCTTTGACCTTTTGGCAAAAAACATTCACTTAACAGTCGCGACATTTCCATGGTTGCATTTTTGGCAGCCTACACCAGCGTCTATTGAATCCAGAGCTGGTTTGATGCTTTGCTTTGCAACGGCTGGTGATGTTGAAAGAAGGAAAAGACCAAAAGTCGCTGACATCGTGGAAATACTCCACAGCAAAGTCAAAAAGAAAAACCTGGACAGAAACAAAACTTTGACATCATTTTGGAAAAACAATGGCACCACCAATATCAATGCAGTAAGAAACTGGTCATAAAATAAAAGATGGTTAACGGTTAAAGCGGTATCACCATCAGCACCCACCAATCGTTATATTAAAGATTCATCAACTGACTCATCATCATGAGCATCTAACAGTTTCAGTTTTATGAGAGATAAAAGCAGATATTCTAAAATTCCTTTTAAATCTCTCGCTTATGCAAAATGTGAGACAGATCGGGCGATTTCATAAATTGTACAGTACAAACAGAAAAAGCTGACAAAAGACAGAGGTGCAGTGTAAAGTGTCCAGAGGCTTAATGAAACCTCTCATGTTGAATGAGGAAAGAGGAAAACAAGATTATAAACAGAGGAGAAACCAAATGACTCTCTGTGTTGCCTCTCTGCTTCTCTAATCTGCTCTGAGTGCAGGCTGCTCGGTCAGGATGAATTAAAGATGAGGGTTAAAACAACACAGGTTCCAGGGTTAAGAGGAGAGGAGAGGCGAGGAGAGGATTAAGAATTAGATCTAAAGTTGGTTATTTTTTTACTCATTCTGCGTCTCTTTTTTAAAGTTTTTATCAAAGAAAATCTATTATAAATTAGTCTCTGGGCTGTCATGAATCCACTCTCGGTGCATCAGTGTGTTTACCAGTTCAGGATATTCATTTTAACTCACTGTTCTACAGTATTTCTCCTGGCTTTACTCTGACAAAGTATGTTTACCTCTGTCAAAACTGCCAGTATGTATGGGTATGGTCCGCACTCGCCAATTCCATCCCAACACGCCCGCCTGTCAAAACAA